CTAATCATCGTTTACCAGAAGTTAAGAGAAACTAGCCTTCGTTGGAAAACGCCCGAAAAACTGGCAAACATAGGTGACTTTAGGTAGTTGATATAGAGATGAGGACAGTCAGCCAGATATTTGACGTGAACGCAGATCCCTTGGAGTTTGAGCAAGCATGCAATGGCACATAAATTTAGCGCGCTTTTAAAAGTGCACCAATAAAGCAGTTGCTTCAAAATCGTAACGCATTTTTGATAGAACTACATCGAAAGTATTGCTTGTATGGCTCACATTTCGACACATTACAGGCACTGGAAAAGGCATTTTTTAGCAAATCTGCGCGACTAAGTGAGATGAGTTACCTCCAAAGAACCTACCACATGTAAGCTTACCTGCTGTGGATCAACCAAATCAATCCGCTCCCATCGCTCCAGCGGTAAATCACGATCTTCTGCGTAAACCAATGTCGTGCCTATAAGCAAGACTGTTTTTTAAAATTTAATTTAAATTTTACATTAAATGAAATTTCAGGGGCTAGAAAGACAAAAGCGGCTTTTGGAAAGTTCCTCTTAAAATACACCTTTTTAAAATTTCAGTTTTCTAAGTTAAGAAACCCTAGTAAAACGTATCCTGATCCCACAAGCACACATAGGGACGCACGCACGCACCCACCCACACACACACACACACACATACACACACAAACACAACATATACAATACACTTTTTGTGCAACTATTGCAGCAAAAACTTATAAAAACGGAAGGGATTCGGAAATCCAGTGAATTTCAAAGCCATCAGTAGATCGACCACCAAATGATGTGGCAAGAACTACAGTAATTGTTCGAATATGCAAAATTATGGGAAAGCCGCAGATTACATAAACGCTGCAAAGAAATAACGATTTCTTAAACAGTTATGATTGGTCAGAAAAATTACGTCACTTTTCTTGGACCTGCCCCCTCTCTCTCTTTGAACTTATACTTCTCTTCTTTGCATGTGTTTTTAACTTTCCTTAGGTGCTTAATTTAGTTCATAACTGACCAGTGACAGACGGTGCAATTGAGCTTGGATAAGTCCACATGATTTGAACGCGACCCGGCGCCAACAAACGATAGGATAATGTATTCGCTTCACGACGTTCCAGCAATTCCGTACGCTCTGTCAAACAAAAAAAACACCGTTAAGTGAGATCTATGCACAGGAAATTTGAACTGTTAGCTATGGTCTAACAAAAAGAAGAAAGGGACTTGGAAGTCCCGCATTACACTGATAAGGAAACATGGATGTTTGAAACTAGGGCTACTGCTTTTGAAACCGGACGCAAAAGTGCTTTCTAATCGTTTGCTGTCCAAGCAGCCAGTTTCTTTGCGATAAACTTAATTAAAAAAAAAAAACTGCTTTTTATAATCTCCAGAAACTTCAGGAAATGCTTCGAGTAAAACTGCTTCATAAGTCTTCTTGTCAAAAATCATGAATACCAAGACCGTTTGGGCAAACACTGTGTGGATATCATGTTAATGATATTACTGAGAAGTTCCTACACCCAAGCATAACTGCGCAGTTTCTTTCGATTCTGGACTCCAGTTAGTATCCCCTCTTTTTTATGCGTTTTTTGCAGCTATGCAATGCAAATTGAAGAGAA